CTTCTTAATAAGTCTGATTATCACTTTGTTCATTCGCAACCCGCATTTCAACGATTCCTACACACATGCATACTTTCATATAACAATTGCAACCATGCCATGTGATTCATATAAGACTCATCCAATATCATCAATCCCCTTCCCGGATTATGGGTACGTCACGTATACCCTACCAGGAACAACATCTCAGTTATTCTACCCAGGTAACTACTTCACTAGGAACGACACATTGCCATTCTACCCTAGTGAGTACAACTCTTCCACATATACATCAACATCATCCTCATATTCATCAGGCACAATATATATATATATATATATATATATATATATATATATATATATATATATATATATATATATATATATATATATATATATGCACTATTATATTCTCAGACATTATTCACAATTCATCATATACATCACGATGCATAAATATACACACAAGCAAGCATATTCAATCATGCTTCTATAATTCACATCATTTTCACATAAACATTTACAATTATGTTTATTTCCTCACCAATTCACATAAACATCTATATACATGTTTATTTCACCAATGCATCATATAAAGATGATTTGCAACTCATAGAGACCGACTCACGACTCTATGCAGATGCAAATGCGGTACCGACTCATTCAGCAGATTCTCCAAGGAATCAAATATAACCATCGCTCACACCTCACAAGGGCACACGAGGTTCTGTAGATCCTACACGGGATCAAATATAATCATCGCATCAAGCGAGGTTCTTCAGATTCTCCACGGAATCAAATATAACCATCGCACTGCAGATTCTCCATGGAATCAAATATAACAATCGCATCAAGCGAGGTTCTGCAGATTCTGCATGGAATCAAATATAACCATCGCATCAAGCGAGGTTCTGCATATTCTCCACAGAATCCAATATAACCAGAATGCAGACCATGATGCTTCACATACAAAATGGCTCAATCAATTATAGACCATCGCTCACACCCCACATGGGCACACGATGTCTCTGCAGATCCTACGCAGGATCAATCGATACAAAATGCATACATGTTTTCAAACATACTCATGCATTCATCACATATCACTGCACACATATTCACAGATATATTTTTCATGCATTCTTCACATTTATCACATACAATAATCATACATTCGCAATATATATAGCATTCCTCATCTGTCACGCATCAACATATACATTCAATATGCACTCACAATATATTTATCCTATATTCATCATTCACCTCATAATTGTTTCATACTAGATTCACATTCATAACTCACAATTATCGTGCCAAACGACAACAAACTCAATCCCATCCATCATGCATTTTTAATCAATTTAAACGACGCATCACATATGCCAAAAGGCCACATATTCACAATCAATTCATAATCTAGGATTCACGCCATACGGCTACCCACAGTACATCATATAACAGCACACAAGCTATTCGTTACATGTTTATATCAAATACATCAGCATTGGATGGAACCAGTCAAAATAAGACAAATACTGTCACATTCGCCACCCTTCGCCTGGCGAATGCTTGCTACCACCTTCGCCTGGCAAACTCGCTGGCGAAGAGCACTGGGAGTTACTGGAATTATTTGCTAGCACTCGCTGGAACACTCGCCTGGCGAACCTTCGCCACCTCCCTTCACCTGGCGAACTTGCCAGCGAAGACTGAGTGTTTTGGTTATGTTTGTGTTCGCTGGGCTTCGCCTGGAGAACCTGCGAACTCAGAACTTCCATGGCTGTCCAAAAGCCTAAACCTCACAAAACCAAATGATTCAATACTAATCAACCCCATTAGACTTAACCCAACATTACCCGACTAAACTACTCCGTTCATTCTCGATTCTAACCGATTAAACATCATTTCTACCCATTAATTCAACTTCTGCCCTAAATAGAAAATGAGTAGAAAACCCCAACAAATCCAAACACACATATACATGATCATACACATTGATTAAGATAGTAAGGTTTCACACCCTTACCTGATCGATCGAAAGCTCGGAAGTTGCTCTAGTGGATTCTAGGTTTTTCCTCTTCTTTCTGCTCTTCCTCTTTCTTCCTTTTTTTTTCCTTTTCTTTCCACTTCCTCATATATATATATATATATATATATATATATATATATATATATATATATATATATATATATATATATATATATATATATATATATATATATATATATATATATATATATATATATATATATATATATATATATATATATATATATATATATATATATCTTTCTCTTTATTTCTTTCCAATATATTTACCCTCTTAAACCCCTATCAATTCATTAAACAATCATCTAATTATTCAAATAATTAGAATAATCCAAATAAATTAATTATTTAACACAAATAATTAATCATTGAAAATTGGGCTGTTACAATCTCGCTCTTGCAGAAAGTGCCTAAGACTTACGATATTTTCGAAGACATTATACTACTCTCTAGGGGACATATTGTGTATCCAGCCAGGTCCTTGGTTGTTCAAAAAATTAATAGAAATGAATCTAACTATAGAATTGAAAGAATAATCTCTCTAGTTAATGAACAACAAATTATTCTCTCTAGTTAATGAACAAAACTACAATTTATCAAAGAGTTCGATAATCAAATCGCAGTTTACCAAACCAAAATTTAACGAACCAAATTGTAGTTAACTAAAAAAAAAACTATTATATATTATTACTTGGTTATATTAGAACTTTGGTTAAATAGCATTATTGATTTTTTTAACATTGAAGTTTATTTTAAATTATAAAAAATTAATTATTTAAAAAAAAACCAACTTTTTTTAAACGATAATAATATTTAATTTTTCATGTGGGTGATAAATGTTTTAAAAAATAATTTATAATGAAAATTCATTTTTATTGGAACATTCATTTATATATATATATATACACGCGAATGTTCATATAAGTCTATGATTTTAGGCTATAAAAAATTAAATTAAAATGTGATTTGAGCGGTATGATCGTTCGATAATGTTTAATATGGTTTGCTTTTTTATTTTTCGATGTGTTTGGGATTTTAATTTTACTAAGTTAGAATTTAAATATTTTAAAAGCAAAATATCTATTTGTTAAAACATATTTAACTATCTAAATATTCAAAATTATCTATTTATTAATTATTTTAAAAGCAGTTAAAGTCGTTATTTATTAAACCATATTAGACTATCTAATATTCAAAACCATCTATTTATTCTATAATAATTTGTAAATTTTTTTTATATTTATAAACAAAGACAGTGTAAAATTTTAAAAAAAGAAACTAAAACTTCATGTTGAAGTCAATTTACATACTAACTGTTTAGAAAAATATTATTCATAAAAATAGTAAATTATAACATATTTTAAAAAATGAGCAAGAAAAAACTCAACATTAGAAAAAGTTTTTGGAGTTGCGGAGAAGCCATTTTGTATGGTTGATATTATGATGACATGTTTCAACAAAAATTTTTCAATTGTATTACATTTTGAGATTGAACCAAATCCTTGATTGACTTGGATATATGTTTAAAAGTAATTATGAAGAAACCCATAAACATCAAGTAGCATAGCATAAAAGCAATTATTGAGAATCGCATAAACATAAACATCAAGTAGCATAGCATAAAAATAATTATTGAGAAACACTGAAACATCAACATCAAGTGCATGCATGTATGAGTGAGAAATTCGGATGAAGCTGATGTAATCTTGCAAAGTTATATATCTTTCTTATATTGAGAGGTTATCACACAATTAATTTTATGTTTTATATTGTACTTTTGAATTGCAATTCTGCCGACATATTTAAAATTATATTGTTTCTGTTCATTATATTAGAAGTATTTTAATTTTAATTTTAATTTTCACAGGTTATTATATCATTGCTATTAATTTTTGTTTATCGTATTTTAGTTTTTCTGTCCTTAATTTTAATTGCTATAAATTTTATGTTTAACTCTCGAAAAATGTCTGGTTAAATCTCTTTAAGTCTGGTATATGATGACCGTTGTTCTGACAGGACTCGATAATTAAATTGGCATTAACTTTTCATAAATTTCTCTTCTGACTTTAGTTTTCAATATTAATTCAAAATGTTTTGCACGAGAGTGAAAAAAAATAAAAGTCCGAGCCGATAACGCGAGAGTGGGATGATTGAACCGAATAGTGACAATTGGGCATTGATCCTAAATACAACGAGAACACTTTAGGTATCAATTAGGACTTATTTAGTTTTCAAAAAATTCTTTTTGATTGAAATGGACGAGTGAGAGAAAAATCTCATGGTCAGAAAATGTAGCTTTAATCAATAGCGCGATAGTGTGAGATGAAGTTTTTAAACTGGTATTATCTACTGAAGGCAAATTAACAGTTAACTAACGCCAATGAATTACAAAGTCCTCAAGATGTACGGAATCACATTCTGGTCTCTCTTGTCTGATATATTTTTAAAATCTTATTATAGTTTTAATTTTAGTTTTAGTTTCCCCTAACTCAAATATTCATTAGCCTTAACTTTACACAGTATCAATAGATAACATTAGATTGATTATTAGTTCCCGTGAATTTGATATCTTTTAAATAGACTATATACTTACAGTTAGATAATCCGATAGACTCATAAAATCACAATCAATAATTTTTTATTATGGCTAAGTTCGGTATAATTCAATTCTTTGAAAGAACTATACCATATACTACCCTAATTATGGATGACTTTTTACGAAAAATAAATTTATTTTTGTCTTATTTAAATAAACAACTTAGTGAATCATTTTCAACACAAACACTTATCATATAAATTTTTATATATAAGTTGTTTCTCTTTAACAAAAGATAAAATAAAATAAAACTGTTTTCATATTGACTTTTAAGTTACCTTGAACAGCATATAAAATGAATGACTTATAAATCTTAAAAGCAGCTTATAAAACTAATTTAAAACTAATTTAAAAAAAAGTTAAAGCCATAACTTATATGCATATCTTGTTAAAACCTGCATCCCAAAAATCCTTCAATAACTTTGGGGCCTCAATGGAGATTATGCTCCTCATCTCCGAACGACCTCTAAATTCAAAGGATGAGAGATTCAAAGCATGAATAGAGAGTATGCTCTTCGTCTCCGGATGACCTCTGTATTCAAACAATGAGCCATTGGAAGCAATATCCAAGACATTGGTATTGAAACAATGAAGTATGCTCAAATGACGCAACTTTGCACTGATGATTTTGCATTCACACGTGAGCCAACACTGGCTAATGGTGACATGTTGGAGTTGGAGACATTTAGAAAACAGATGAGTTATGACATCACCCTCCCTGAGTCCAAAATTTATGACATCACCCTCCATGAGTCCATCCAAGACAATTGTTGTGACATTCTTGAGTCCAGAAAAGTGAACAAGATTAGAAATTTGAGCACATGTGTAGCTAAAGTTGGATAACTTATGAGACTTGATATTCAGCGTGTGTAATAGAAATTCAGCGAGACAGTCTGAGGAATATTGAACGGAGGAGAGATTTGATGCAATGATATCAATATTAATCTTCTCGCCAATGATATCCCCGCAGTTAATGTTCAAATGAAGCAATGTTGTACTAGTTATTTTTAAGTCAGATCTGAAGGTACATTCATTAAGAGTCAAGTTGTGAAGATGGATGCATTTAAGACACATATCCTGAAGCATATTCTGCTCGACAGGAAGTAGATGCAACACAAGAGTTGTCAAATTCTTCAATCCAGAAAATTCCATTATGCGGCAGTTCTGTAGGTGTAGATATGTGAGAGAATTATGAGAGTCAGACAAGAAAAAATTGTATGGCTCTATTTCAAAATCAGATTCATTATATGGAATCATTGCTTTTTCAAAATCAGATTCATTATATGGAAAGGGCATTGCTTTCATTGCTTTTTCAAAATCAGGCAATGGCCGTGGATATGCCAAGAGCAGCTCAATACGATTGACACCCTTAAAAACTCCTTTGTGAATCAATCTATCAATGACATGAGTATTATCCCGACCTAATGGAAAATTGATTCTGATTGAACTGATGATGTCACCATGATATTTCTGGATGAAATAATCCAATCTTGTGGCAAATTGAGATTGAAGCTGTTGAAAGAGTGGAAAGAGTGGGGTTTTTGGTAACTCTGGATTACAGTCAAACATGTTATGGAGATCAAAATTGAGGTCCTTTCTTAATCCCCATTCGTGATACCATTGTTTGGACAATGCACTAGTTTTCACCAAATTCTTCAAACTTAGCTTGGAAAAGATATGTGATATAATACAATCAGGCAACTCAGTTGATTCACTCTTGACTTTTTTCACCATTCTGCCGTTGCTGCAAACCTAACCTGAATCACAAATTCTTCAAGCTTTGTGTTCTGCCTCCAAAACTAAATTGAAACAACTAGTAGGATTTATATCTCTAGAATTAGGGTTTGTTTTTTTCACTTCACTCGGCCTCCTTATAAATCTCTAGAATTAGGGTTTGTTTTTTTCACTTTAAAAAACCCTGTATTACTTCAGTGGGCCTCCTTATAAATTTCTAATTACTGTTTAAACATATGAATACATATATAAAATATTAATCTCTAATTTTTAATCTGTTCAAATTTATACACACCCATCAAATTGTTGAGTTCAATATATTATATGCTCAGCTACCAAAAATATTATATAATATAAATATTCCATTCAAAAATTTATTTCATTTGATATTAAATCTAATTTTACCTCAAATTTATGGGTTAATTTTTAGCAATACTAGGTTTCTAATTTATAGCAATTTAGAAACTGTGGGGTGTTATTTTTTAATATATTAGTATTTTTATTTAATTAATTATTATTTTAATATAGAAACTGATAAATTTAATTATTATTACTATTATACATTCTTTGGTTTACTATATAGTATATATATTATTAGCATTTTTATTTAATTATTATTATTTATATCATTTTTTTAATGATAAATAATATATATATATATATATATATATATATATATATATATATATATATATATATATATATATATATATATATATATATATATATATATATATATATATATATATATATATATATATATATATATATATATATATATATATATATATATATATATATATATATATATATATATATATATATCATTTTTTACAAATAAACTAGAGCAAACAAGTAGAGAAAGCGAAAACATCGAAGAAAGAGCAAAGCAAAAAATCATCCAACCAAAACAATCAAGAACCGGTCCCTAAATTTGGAGACAAAAACTCCACTCTGCTGACCACTAACTAGAGCTCAAACCGTCTGACCCACCATCTGTAGGCCATAAGCACCACAACTACACCAAGAATAACACCTCTAAAGAATCACTACTGATCATGACACTAGATAGGATTCTGAAAGAAAAAGTAGGTGTTCACAAATGACCAATCAAAAAACCAACTCCATGCCAAATAAATACTCTTCTCTTCCAACTCTTTCACGTTTGTTATTTTTTTAGCAAAGTGTTTCTCATTGCACGCTAACCAAATAGACCAAGCGGCATCATGTCAAATCATAGAAAACACTCTCCTAGACTTAGACTCTTCCCCTAACAAGATGAACATATCATAGAGATTCCTAATATTCCTAGGGAGATCAACTGAAACCTTAACTATAACACCCCGAAAATTCTACTAGAATTTTAGTAGAATTTTATTAGAATTTTTTTGTTTTCTTTGAGATTTTTGTATTATTATTTATAATCTTAATAAAATAGAAATAAGGGTTTATTAATATAATAATAATAGAGAATAGGAAGAGTTGTGGTTATTTAGAAATTATGAGTTAAATATTAAGAAATAATAAAATAAAGGAAAGTAGTAAGAATAAATAAAATAAAAATAAAACTTATTTTTTTATATATGGGTGTCGGAAGTTTAGAGAACTTGTTAGTAGAAAAAAATGAGATGAGTTGAGGCAATCCTAGAAGAGAGATTCTCAAGAATAGAAATTTTCATCACCAAGAGTTTAAAGGTTTAAGCTTAATCATGGTAAAGGGGGAGATTTTTTCATAATGGGTGTTTAAGCTTAGGGATAGTGAGGATTCCCCTAACCTATTTCCTCTTGTATGGATTATTATTAAATTATGTGGGGTTTGTTCAAAACCTCCATGATTATGTTAACTGTGGATCCTGATTTTGTATAATTATTGAATTATGTGTTTTAGGTTTGAAAGAACCAACATTAGTCTTATTCGACAATGTTGACAATTCGCGTGGGAGGTTCAGATGGAGAATATTTGCATTTGTTTGATCGTGCATCATGTATATTAGAGATTAGCTTAGAACTTCGACCCAATATTTAGGACATCGATCTGGTGTGGAGGATCACTCATTAAATAACTCTGATATTCAGGACTTCGATCCAGTGTTGATGATCAATTAGTAAAATAACTCTGATATAAGTGTTAGGACTGAGTACCACATGTATTGGAAGTTTAGGAAATAAGCACTGCATAATGAAATTGTCTATTGTACATTTGTGTTGACTAAATATGCTTGTTATGTATTATCCTTGTTATTTATACACTATTTAATTTATGAAATGTATTTTCACCCCTTTCTTGTCTTTATATTTATACCTTTGTACTCTTGTAGATAATTACCAAGTTAAGACTGAGGAGTGATAGATGTTGTTTTATCGAGGATGGTGTAGTTGATCTCTTTAGTAGTTTTATTTTTGCATTATGTTTGTCGTACCTCTTGTAGACTTTTAGTATTATTTTCTTTTTTGCTCTAATATTGTAACATTGGATTGAGAAAACTTTTCTATGTTCTTTAATTTATTTTGAACTAGTTACTTATGCTATGTTTTGAATTAAAATTCCATCTTTGGAATGAAATTAAATATTTTACAATGTCACACCTTTGTTTTTTATCTTCATATTTTCTGCAATATTTTATGAATCATATTTGAGGTTTATGGTGTTAAACTAACCATCCAAAGATCGTATACCAGACACAAGAGGAGACTGTACATGTGACAAAAACGTGGGAGGCTAATTCAAGCTAGTTCCCACAAAGGATACAAGAGATAGCCTCTTGACCGAAAATAACCTTCCTTTTAAACAAGATATCCCGAAAAGAAAACCTATCCAAAAGAAGTTTTCAGAAAAAAAAACCACTTTTGATGGAGCCCAATTGTCCCAAATAAGAGGAAGAAATGGAAACTCCCTAAATAAATGAGTGTCAGAGGCAGGCCTAAGATCATCTATGACTTGCTAAGAAATGTGAATTCTTTCATAAATATTATTCTCTTAACAAAAACGATTGTTATCTTTGGGAATCAAATGTTTCTGGATAAAATTAAATTCTATTTTATTTTCACATTTTACTTATGAATATTTTGTTTAGTTAGAATGGTTGGGAAAAATTATTTAAAGTGTTTCTCCTTTGAGTTAAGTGATATGGATGCAAGTGATTAAAAGTGTTTCATGCAAGAAAAAAATAAAAACACATATTATTATCAAAAAGGGGCTACAAGGACTGAATTCCTCTTATACACTACAAGAAAAAACGTTTTTAGCTAGAGGTTAAACCCCTCACTAAAGCAAAAAACCCATCACAAAACACCAATTTATCCAATCTTCTCCAAATTCCTCTGAAAAATAAGCATGGTTATTGAAGAAGTTTGACTAGTCAAAATCAAACTCATCAACATCTGAACCATAGTCAAAAGGTTGATTTGGGCTCCTTTGAAGCTATATCTTCTTCTTTTCCACAAATGGATTTATCACATTGTTCGCACGCGATTTTTGCGCGAACAACCTCAGGCCTTCTGTAACGCCCCGATTCTCAATTCCCATTAATTGTCGAGTCTTTTAATTTATTTAATTGATGTTTGTTTTAAATTGAGAAATTATGTGTTATTATGTTGTGTTTGCTTATTTTACTATTTTTACCGATTCAGAGAGTTTTCGGGGAATTAGAGTAAAAAGGGTATTTTGGACATTTAGCAATTAAGTGTGAGAATTGATTGGTAAGTGTTGGAAAGAATTTGAGAGGAAAGAAATAGAGATAGAAATAGAATAAGAGAGGAAAAGAAAGAAAGTAGTAACATAAGAAGAAAAACAAGAGAAAGAAAAGAGGAGAAGAGAAAGTGGGCAAGAAAACCTAGAATCATCAAGGAATCATCACCAAAGCTTGCAATCGATCGGTAAGGGTGTGAAACTCCATCATCTCTTTAATGTGTATGATTGTATGTGTATGTGTTTGGATTTTGTAGAGTTTCTACTCTTTTTCCACTTAGGTTAGAAGTTGGTTTTATGAGTAGAATGATGTTTCGATCGGTTAGAACTCGGATTAGACGATGTAGTTTAGTCGGGTGATGGTTGGGTTGTGCCACTGAGACTGGTTTGGATTTAATCGGTTGATTATGAGGAGATTGGGCTTTTGGGACAGCCATGGAAGTTCTGTCTTCGCAGGCTCGCCAGGCGAAGCCCAGCGAGCTGCAGCGAACCAAGTCAGTAGCAGATACCCTGTCTTCGCTGGCAATTTCGCCAGGCGAAGGTGTGTGGCGAAGGTTCGCCAGGCGAGTGTGTAGCGAGCCTCAGCGAGTAATTCCAGAATTACTCCCAGTGGACTTCGCTGGGAAGTTCGCCAGGCGAAGGTCAGCGAGCATTCGCTGCGTGGCTTCGCCAGGCGAAGGTTGGCGAACCTGGCAGTGTTATTTGTTTTGCTGTTTTGTTCATAGCATGATGTTTGGTTGATTCAATTATGATTAATGCTCATATGAATGATTGATGTGTGAACTGTTTCGACATGTCATGCTGTGGGTGGCCGAAAGGCGTGAATCCTAGATTGTGGAGTCGATTGTGAATCTTATTCGTTTGATAATCTTGTGCGTTTTCTCGAATTGGATAGAAATGCATTGACGGATTAATAGGTATGTAAACCATGTGTGAAATGGTGTATAATGTGAATGCATGATAAATATATGCGATGTATGTGATAAATGCAATGAGTATGTCTGCGAACATAGTATGCATTTTGTGTTGATCGATCCCTCGGAGGATTTGCATTGTGAAGCATCTTAGTATGCATTTTGGTGTTGATTGATCCCTCGGAGGATTTGCAGAACCTCGTATGGTACGATGGTTATATTAGATTCCTTGGAGAATCGGTTGCATTATGTGATTCCTTGGAGAATCGGTCATAACATGTAATCCCGTGGAGGATTGACTAAAGTATTTGATTCCGTGGAGAATCTGCAGAATATTCGATTCCGTGGAGAATCTGATGAATATTTGATTCCGTGGAGAATCTGCTGAATACTTGATT